TCCTGTGTGTACAATGTAACTTCATGGTCCTGTGTGTACAATGTAACTTCATGGTCCTGTGTGTACAATGTAACTTCATGGTCCTGTGTGTACAAGGTAACTTCGTGGTCCTCAGTCTCTAAATAAAGCCAAGTAAACGCTCAATAAACACATTTTATGTAGTATAAAGACAAGATCCACCACTGGCCGACTACAGATGCATGCATACTAGGAATCATTACACAGGATTCTGGGACAAATCTCAAAATAATATACCTGCAAAGATTTATAGATTTTTAGTTAGTTTCTCTGGGTTAAAAGAAACCTAAAGTTCCACAAGGCATGCAAAAAAGTATTTTATCAAGGACCAGGAAGGTTATAAGACTTGGGATGATAAACCAGGATTCCTAAAGCAAAAGCTGGTGCTTTGCAGTTCTGCCTCAGTTGTGATGTGATGCTGGGCCCGTGAATGCCAAGGGGAAGAACAGGTGCAAACACTCATCAGAGGATTCAAGCTGAATTGATTCAAAGACTGATCTAGCAATAAACAGATGTAAGAAGGTGCCGTGTTGTTAGGGGAGCTGCCGAGTTCCTGATGAAATCCCTGAGAGAACGGTACTTTATAGAGGTTCAGTTGGATAAGCCCATGACTACTGAGCACCCTTGGGCTTGTTTGAATTGAGATGTGCTACAAATAGGAAATGCACACTGGATTTTAAATATTCTGAACAAGAATATAAGATGTCTTGAAATAAGTATAAGATGTCTTGAAATAAGTTTTTATATGATTTCATGCTGAAGTCATTTTTTACAAACTAGGTTAAATAAAACATTCTTTAAGTTATGTTTGCTTTTTCTAGTGTGGCACTAGACGTTTACAGTCATACATATGGCTCTCATATTTCTGTAGGACACTGACGACATAGCAGTAACTGATCTGTGTGGCTCTGCTTTTCATAGTAACAACAAGATCTAAATATTGTCAGGATACTACAGGAAGTTTGCGGAAGGGTCTTCTAGGAATTTGAATTTTATATACTGTAAAATCAGAAGCTAATGCAGAATTTGGTGGGGAGGGGATTAATCATTTTGTGGGCTGGAGATATGGCTCAATGGTTAAGTGTACTTGCTGTTCTTCTCTAGGACTGGGGTTCACTTCCTAGCATTGACATGACAGCTCACAACCATTTTCAACTCCTGCTTCAGGGGACCTAATGCCCTTTTCTGGTCCCTGTAGGCACACACACAGTGCATAGACATTCACACAGGCAAAACACACATACACATAAAACAATACAATTAAAAAACAAACCACAGACTTGATAGTCTTGATAGGAGAGGTGCATTTGGGTAAATTTAGAGTGTTGTTTCAGCAGCTTTGAAAAACCCAGGTGGCTGGAGTTTAGATTTAAAGAATTATAATATCTTTTGAAACGGTATCGGGGAGTGTATACTTTCACATGCATACGAACATACACACGATCAGAGATGATTTTTCACTGCTCTGAAGCACTTCCAGTTTGAGCACTTACTTGAGTGGAAGGGGCTTGCTGAGTGTTCGGAATCGAACACACTGCACACATCTGTGGTACTGGATGCGCAGGACGAAGGAGGGGGTGTCAGTGGCGTCCTTGGAGAATTGGGTGCAGACGATGTACTTTCAGTCTCACTCTCCGGGATCCTACTGTAGCTAATTTTCCTTGGCTCCTGCTGCAGAGGTGTGGGGTGCCTCATGGTTCCTGGTCTTGGGTTTGAGGGACGAACACCGGGGGATTTGAGGGGATAGCTGTATTTTTTTGGCTATAGACATCAAAAACAAAAACAAGCCACAATACTTAAAACATCATGGGTAAAAGGAAGGTGTTTCTCTGTTCAACTAAAAGTTAGAAAAACTATAAATTATCAATATGAAAATTTCCCAATGATTCAGATCAGAGTATCCCAGATTCCAGCACTATCACTTCATTCTGCTGAACGTTTGGCTATGTGAATCATTAGAAACTGATGTATTTAACTGAGCTTAGTATAAATACCAGAATGTTTGTTAATGTAACATCTTGGGGGATGGAAATATTTCTGAAATACATTGTATAAATTCCCTGGCTTTTTGTTGTTGTTGTTTTGTTTTTTTGAGACAGGGTTTCTCTGTGTAACAGTCCTGGTTGTCCTAGAACTAACTTTGTAGACCAGGCTAGCCTCAGCCTTCCAAGTGCTGAGATTAAAGGTGTGCACTACAGCCCCCTTCCCCCAAATTGCATTTTTTTAAAACATACTATTTGGGGCAATTAAATCTTGTTGGAAAAGCCAGGATACTCATCATGAATTGTGTGTTGTAATACAGGGATGCTTTAGCCCATTAAGACATGGGCTACTTACAGATGGACTGAGTTGCCTGCATTTTCTTTAACCTCTGTATATTTTAACTTTAGGGCTCTTTCCCTGCAGAACGACCACCTCACAGTGATGTCAGAATGTCTCACTAGAGTTGGCATACCTACTAGGTTTATGTTTAGAGGCTGTTTTAGAGTTTAAAAAATCTGGCTGTGAGTCACAAACATTATACAGTTTATTATGACCACTTAGAAATGATTTATATTTGCTTTTTGACTCTATGAGTGAGTGAACATATTCAGATCAGTGAGAAGTAATACCAAGCATAAACTTGGCCAGGCACTAGCAAATTACTACAAAATAAAAGAACCATTAAAAGTATCAGTGTACAAATTTTGCATTACTAAGGCTAATGGCTCATGGGTAAAATTTCTAATAAATAATTGCTTTAAAAAATTCCAAGTAAATATATTTATTGTTTAATAAATTAGTATAAATTTCTTAAATTCCATACCTTTGAAATAAATTACAACTTTAGTTAAAACTAAAAGTAGCAAACTATAAATTTGCTTACACTTATTACATCACATGAAAATTTATTGAAATTAATATTAATGTTCATTTTTTGAAACCAAGTGGGGTATTCCTGATTATTCTTATTACTTACCTTTAACATATCACATTTATACCTCATCCCTAAATGCTTTCACAAAAAGCTGATCTACACAACACATGGTATGGACCCACAATGGTATTGAAGATACCCCCAGATGTGGACAACAACTGTAAAAAGGTATAAAGCTGGGAATATATGAATGCTTACAAATCTTGGGAGAGGTTTAGGGTTCCGTGGTTCTATTTCAAGGGATTTGTTGAAAAGATAGTCTGTGAATTCTTTCTCCATGCTATTTCCCATTGGATTCAAGTTTTCAAAGAACCTCTAAAATAAATACAAAAAAATAATTATTAGTATTAAATATTCTTAATCAGATTTCAAATTCATGAAAATAACTTAGTCAATAATTCAAATTTTCTTATATCCTAAGTTTTATATTCCCTATAAAATATTTCTCTACAAAATAAACTTGGCCTTTCTGAGGCACTGTGTAAAGTTGCTTAGAGATAGGGATCCTCACACGCTCCAACTTACTTTGATATCTGCCTCGACCCGTAAACAATAAGGCTGGTTTTGGTACTGCTGGATCTCCCCTGTTATCTCCGCCACTTTCCTCCTTTTGCTGAAGTTGATGAGCTCTTTCCCGTGTCTTTTCAGAACTTCAGGGTTGCCTTCTTCTGTTTTCAAGATATTAGTGAGATAAATTCCTACAAGAGACCATGAAATTACTTCACGGGTAAAGAAGGAAGAAGTTTTTTTTTTCTTTCTCATTAACTGCAGGGATTTATGCAGACAGTCATAATAACCAAAGAACCAAGGCCTAGATTTCTAGTCCATTAAAAAACAACTTGCTCGGTGACTGTTTTAAATCCTGTAAAAAAAACTTATATTTTATAAACATTCAAGGAAAAGGAGATCAAGTTTCAGAAATAGATTTCCTGTTTAAAGAATGACCAGTCTTCCATACTCTTCAAACCACCATTATGTGAATTGTAAAAGGACGCTTTAGTGAAGAAACTTAACAATGTTGTCATTGATGCATAGTATTGACAAAGGGGGGAAACGCTCAACTCAGAAGATGACATTTTCTGCCTATTCAATTCTTAGTCTCACAATTTGGAGGTGATCACGTTTGAACAGGCTTTCTTGTGGAAATGTCCAAAGGGCCTCAAGTCTCCCAAGCACAGGGTGACATATAGTTTGTGCATATTTTAGATTTAGAGCACAGGTGATATGGCTGGCCTCAAACTTGTCAGGTAGCTGACTGAGGATGACTCTGAACTTACCCTTCTGGCTTCAACTCTTGAGCCCTGGGATTACAGGCACACATCACCATACTTGGTTTCTGCAGTGCCGGGATTGAACCCAGCTGAGCTACACCCAGTCCCACTTGAGCTCTTCCTGACACCGAGGGTCGAGAGCCAGCTCTGCTGCTTTCTCCCTGTGTTGGCCTCCCTCACTGCCTTAGTCTCTCTGCACCTGCTCCCCATCTCCAAATGGAGACGCAGAGGAGTGGATATGTCAGTTGAGACTAGGCTTGACCAAAAAGGAAGTGTCCGTTAGTGACATCTGAATAACTCCTCCCTCCCAGATTCCACACTGCTCTTCTGAGGGGAGGGGCAGAGCACAATGTGTGGGACCCTGATCATTCACTGAGTATCAGTGTACAGCCTTTCTGCTGTATGTTAGTTACTACATTAGGCACTGCAGATAAAAATACACACAGGGAGTGGGCTGATCTCAGAGAACTCAGAGCTTTGGAGACGGGGCACTATGGTGCAGTTTTGCAGGTACTATATTAGGAAATGCTGTGCTAGTAGTAATGTTTACAATGC